CTCTCTCTCCCCCTCACTCACTCTCTCTCTCTCTCTCTCTCTCTCCCCCTCACTCTCTTTCCCTCCCCTTCCTCTGTCTCTTTCCCACCCCCCCCCCCCCCTCCCCCTGCCGCCGGTGCCCCCCCCGTCGTCGAAGCAGCACGGTGTGAATGTGAATGCCCCGGCCACTGCGTTTCAACAGGCGAGCGGCTATGGAACCCACGGCTACAGCACGGGTAAGTGAGGGGGCCGCTGGGAAAGTGTCTTGCTCGCTCGTTTGCACAGCTACGTCGGGTGCCCCAAGCTCCAAGAGAGGCGAGCTTACGGACTTGTCAGATCCAGCGCTCCCGCTGCATGTATTTGACCCTGGGGCGTCAAGCAGCGTAGAGCTGGTTGGCGTTCCCATCGAGATTTCAACTCCTGCAGTTTCGGCAACGTCAAGTTCAAACCACATGAATTTCTCCCATAGCATTGACCGCCTCTGCAGCGCTGGCTCCAGGGAGAAACTGGGTAGGTTCTTCAACCAGAGTAATAGTGACAATAAGTGTCTTCCCCTCTCACAGCGGCCTAGTCTAGGAGTTCTCCTGGACTGTGTTCAGGTGACCAGCGATAGCCCACGAGGATTGTCCTTTCACTGGGCACGGGGCCCAGTATTTATCTGTCTCCTGTTTTAGAATCCTTCCCTTTCAGGCAGAACAAGCAGAGTCTGTGTAGTGTAGGGGCACAGTGTCGTTAGGGAGGGCCGTTCTGGTATTTGGCCCTTGTTCGTGTGTGTGGGGGGTGGCATCAGTTAGCTTATAAATGACTGCTTTACGATGCAGCGTGGCTTCAGTTCGTGCACAGGTTACCATGAAGGGGCTATCTGTTTCCCACGGTGACCCTCTGGTTAAGACACCCTCTAGCCATCTTGCTTTTGGTCTTTCTCTCTGAGAGAGCAACCCTAAGGTCTTGTAAGACTGTGGCGACGTTACATTTTACCAGTGATCTGGAACCTGTCGTGTTTTCAGGAATCTCGCACTGTTTTTGAAGTTATTTTCCCTCCGTTTAGTCGGAAGATTTTTTTTTTAAAATCCATTTGTGAGATGTAGCTAAACTATTTACAAACACGTATTTTTCTGCCCCGAACTGCTCAAAGTGCTTTTTAAGAGTCAACCCCATCGCTGTGGGGTCTGGAGTGATGTGTAAGCCCACATCAGGTAAGGATGGTAGATTCCCACCACCACCACCACCCCCCCCCCCCCCCCCCCCCCCACCAACTCTGGGGTTTTTATTTCCACAATCTA